GAGGCTGCACTGCCCGAGCAGACGCCGCTCAGTGCCACCTGGCTTCCAAGCAGCTCCCTCTCCTAGAGCTCCAAGGGCAACCCCATAGCTGTCATGCCTCAGTTTCCCCTTAAAGGGGCTCCCTAAAGATGTTCCTCACAAGGTTGCTATGAGAATTTGAAGAGTTAAAATGGTGCCTAGCCTGTGTGAGTGCAAGAATAAATGCATTTATATGAGATATCTTCCCATCTAAACTTTGTCAATGTTTACAAAAGACTTTTCCAGAGTGGTTTTAGGATTATAGCGAAATGGAGAGGAAGGCATGGAGGTTTTCATTCTACTCCTTACCCTGATAGAGCATCTTTATCAATAACACTCTTCAGATGGCACTTTTTTTTTAGTCAAGGATGAACCCACATTGACTCACTAGTTCCCCAGAGGTTACAGTAGGGCTCACTCTTGGTATTGAACAGATAAAGACAGCATCGGTCGTTAGCGTATCACACAGTGTCTTCGCTGCTCTAAGAATCTCTTGTCCTGGCATATTTGCCTCTCCATCCCCACCCCAGTTTTGTTGTAAGTTAGAGGCAAATTGTGTAATAGAAATTTTGAACTCACTACCCAGCATCTATTTACCAATGGAGACATTTTGCAATATTTACTTCAGATCTATTTTTAAGAAGGAAAACACTGTGATTACTGCTTTCATTCCTCCCCACCCACCCTTTTATTTCTACTCCAGGAGTAGGGAGCCTCCATGCTTAGGCCCTTGTTGCTGTGGCCGCGTGTGTCTGGCGATCTCCTGTCCTTGCCCCTCTCTGATATTTGCTCACACTCCCCTGGCCTGGAAGCCTGTGAGGGTTTTCCTGAGCCGGTCCCGACAGCCCACCAGGCCTGCCCTCCCAGGCCTGCTTTGCTCAAGACCTTGGGCCGGATCCTGTCCTCCTGGGCCTCACAGACCCGCTGCACAGTGGATCCAGGCGGGGGCCGCCCCCAACCACGGGCCCACCAGCAACAGAGATGCCAGCGTGTCTGGCGCGAGCGAATTCAGTGTTGATGCAGTTGTGCTTGACCTCGACACAAAGTTGAACCGAATAATCAGACGTTGAATACGGAGCAAGGGAGAAAAGGGACGAGAGGAAGGGAGGGAAGGAAAGGCTGAAAAACTAGCAGGAGTCAGCCACGCTTCTTGGTGAAGTCTGGAGCACCTTGGCCTCCAGACTCAAGTAATTGGGTTGGCCTTGTTCCAGAGGAGCTTTGCTGCTTCCCTAGGATGCTGCCCTCTGAGGGCGGGGCCCTCTGGGGACTCCCGAGGGAGCCCCCGCTGGTGGTGGGCCAGCTTCACACACAGCACTAGCTGGCTGCCAGCCGCCCCGCTTCTGCAGATCTGTCACGGGGCACGAGGATGCCTGGTGTGTCCAAGGGGCGGGTCAGGGAGGTTGGCAGCCTGCCCTCATCTCCCAGGAAGCTGTGGGGGTCAGGGAGTCCCGGGGGGGGGGGGGCTGTGCATCTCATGCCCAGGCATGCCAGTTACACCTGCTGACACAGGAAACGGCTGGGAGCAGTTGCTTTGCTTCACCGTGCTTTCTCCCAGCCCTTAGGTGTCAGCTGGGCCAGAGAGAGGCCGCCTCAACTGGAGAGCGCAGTCAGAGCCGGCACTATAACCGGCTTCTGGGAGGCCATCAGCACTCTCGGGAGCGGGAATGAAGGGCAGCCCTGACAGTGCGCAGCCTGGGGGGTTGTGATACCCGCCCCCACACTGCACTCACCTCCTCGTTGAAGGTAGTGCCCCCACCGCCCAGGCCAGCAGCTGCCCGGGGTCTGTGTGCCCTGCCAGCCCCCAAGGCGGCCTTGCTCTGTCGATCCAGCCTGGCAGCCGCCCTCCTGGGCCTGCCTTGGCTCCCCAAGACCATGGGCCCAGCCCCAGCTTGCCCCTTCCCTGCGGGCCCATGGTTGTCTTTCACAGAGCCGCTCCAGGCGGCTCTGCCAAGTACTTTGTGGATTCCCTTGAGTTATGTCCGGAAACAAACTCTCAGCCGCTTGCCCTCCCCTCCCGGGAGCCTTCACCTCTGCCATCACCCCAATCGGGTCTGGGGAAACTCAGATTCACTCACGACCTTCCTTCAGGAAGCTCTGGGGGTGGGAGTTCTGGCTCGGCCCTGGGCCCCAGTTGCAGGAAGAAGGTGCCGTGTGCACTTCAGCACAGCTCTGCGCACGTTTGTGCTGATGGTCAGATCTCCCCGTCTGCAGGAATTGGGCTCTCCGTCCCTCCCCACCCCGAATCCGGGTGCACCCAGCCATGGCTCTGGGCTCGTGTGAGGGAGGGGCCTTCAGGCCCAGGCCACGCTGCTGGCCAACAGTCTTTTCTGTTTAAAGACGTCAGATTCACCGCATGTTTTTGACTCGTTCACGCTAAGGTCACGGCCATCAGCACTACAAGTCATGCCCGAGTGACAAGAGCCTCGCTCCCATTTTTCTCTGGAAGGTCCTTCTGAGGCTTCTGGTGCTGAGAACACCGGACAGCACTTCATTACTCGCTAAGGGACCATTTCAAGCAGCAAAATTGCCAGCACAAAGGACACAAATGCACAAAGCATGACCCTAAGTAGACCGGGAGAGGGCGCTTGCTGGTGACGTAGGAGCCGAGGCATGGACGCCCGTGTAGGAGGCCTCAGCTGGGGCCATGCTGGTGAGTGGCTGCACCTTTAC